TTAAATTATGAATATTAAGAGTGCAAATGAAGCAAATTAACCAAGAATGAGCTTGCTCAACGTCGTGGCTATTCTCATTTATTAAAGTTATGTTTGAGCTCAAGCAATAGCTCGATTTGAGTATTGTTTGTCGTGTTTAGGCTTAGTTCATTTAAAATTATGACTATTTGAGATTGATTTGAGCTTAGCTCAACCTTGATTCATATTATAATTTATAATCATCAAGTATTAATAGTGTAGCATGTTTGTTCTAGTTAATGAGCCTACCATTGAGTAGCTAAATTGTTTTGCACTACATTTACTATATTTTAGTTAGCATTTCTTTTTCATCCAATCAAATACGAAATTTTTCAAAACCTCTACATTCATTTACTTTACACCCATTTTACTTCCAGCCGAATAAAACAGTTTGACAAGACAAATCCAATGAGCCTAATATCTCTTAATTCTAACATCATTAAGGTACTTAAATACTAAATGAACACTCTATAATTGAAGAAATCAATACAGATCATCCAATGGTCACTCCATTTTTTTATCTTCTCCAAATTTATGGGACATGCCACTAAAAAAATTATAAATAAGCCCCAACTTCCTACATGAAAGGGGACTTGGACTTTTCGAGGCTTTAACCTTAGGCTAGAGATAATAGACCTCCAAGGCTTGAAGAATTCCATAGCTCAACCCAAGCACCACTGCAGGTAAACCCTTGTCGCTTGGTCTCCGCTACAAAAGCTTTGCCCTACCATCAGCGTCAGACCTTTGCCCGACCATCATTGTCAGGTTTTCGCTCGACCTTCGTCCCTCGTCCACTATGGTCCTCGAGCTATCATGGCCTGACTACGTGTCACGACCCAACTTGACCGGGACAGATCCCAACGTGTTGAGTCACGACGGATAACCCCATGATCTAGTTTTGGAATTGCTTTTCAGACTTTCCTTCCAATACACAATGAAATACAAAATCACAGAACTTCTACAAACATCCAAATATACAGAAAACTCATCCATAATTTTTTTTATTCTCATTCTTCAAAATAATCATATACATTATAGTGCATGACTATAAGCAAAAATTCCAGAATAGAACATTAAACATGCCATGACTGTATAAAAATCAAAAGTACAAAAATATCTATAACTTCAAATCAGATCCTGAACGGCTAGTCTAAAACTTCCTTCCCTTTTCTAGAACCTGAAAACCATGAAGATAACCACAGTGAGCAAACTGCTCTGCAAGATCACACTAGCCAATCTAAATTCTCATATTCTCTTATTCCAAAATAATTCACATAAGCTTTAAAAACAGTTCATTTTAAATCAAATAATCACTGAACTGAAATCTCAAGATAAAATACATAACAAACCATTCTTTAATTCAAGTATTCGTACATAATTCAGAGAATCAAACAAAATTCAGATATTCTCATAGAAATCATATAATCAGACAGAATTCAAAATATCGTACATAAATCAAATAATCAGACGGAATCAAATAACAAATACAAAAGAACTGAATTGAATTCATATAACATAATTGTTCAAATCATATTTCAGATCACATTTTAAATCACATTTCAAATCACATATTCCTGACCTAGACATAATCTCAAAGAATTCCGGCCCATTATATCTCTCTTCCCTAACACATACAGGATTTCAAAAAATTCTTGCCCCTTATGCCTCCCTTTGTGTTTACAGCACCATAATATATCAGATATACAGAGTTATCATATCAGAATTCATTTTTATATTCTCAGAGCCAGATAGAATCTCAATGGATTTTAACCCCTTATGCCTCCCTTCTTTAACATAGGCATAATCTCTAAGGATTCTGGCCCCTTATAACTCCATTATAATATCATTCAATCATATAAAACATCAAATCATCACATCATAACTAATACGGAGTAATTGAACATATATCAAAATTTCACCTTTTTCGTATGGCGGTAGACAATAGAAAGCCAATGAATTAAAAATATATAATTTCAAAAAATTACCAAATTACCATAGACCGCATAAACTAACATTTCCAAGCTTTTTTTGTACTGAAGCTATATTTTTTAACATCCATATAATTTTCTATTTGATAAAAACCCCGCATAATTCAAAATACCCAGTGCAAAATTTTTAGAAAATACTCAAAACGTGTAAAATCATAATCTTTATGACATACCAAAAGTTACGCGATAAAAGTTTCACTGGTGCAAAGTTATACCCATTTTTCGCTAAAGGAAACAAATTTTTAATCAAAAAATCTATCAAAACTCACATTTCTGAAAATTGAGAAAAGGCATAATGTGACTTACCTTGAGTCGATCAACTTTCCCAACTGCGTCGTCGAACGAAAACAGATCGAAGACGCCCAAAACTTGACTTTTCCTCTTCTTTCCTTCTCTTTCTCTCTCCTCTCTCTCTTCAAAACAAAACAAATCGTGCTTAAAAAGATATTTACGATCGTCCGGGCGAAAATTTATATTCTTCCCAGGACGATCGGCTCTGTCATGCATGATCGGCTCTGTCATGCCCTCAGAACATGTTCGTACGGACGATATTTGATTTTCATCCCAGGACGATGGGCTCTGGCAAAAAAAATTGTTTAGTTCGTACAAATGAACTGACGGATCGTACAGACGAACCTGCTACATATTCAGTTCGTACATACTAACTGCACATTGTTCAGTTCGTACAGACGGTTCGTACAAACTAACTACACAAATTTTTTTTTTCTCCAAAAATAACTTGAGGTTTAAGGATTTCACACTACGATCCCTACAACCTCTGTCGCCCACTAACTAAGGTCATTTATCTATCATCACCCAACTTTGATTTCTCTAACCTTCGCCACTTAAATACAATCTCTTAGGCCAAAGTCATCTGCCAACTACAGTCTCTCCGACATCTGGTTCCCACTAACTATGGTCTCATTGACCTCAATTGCCTGCCGACTACGATTTTTCAATAGCTATCACATGACAACAGTCCCTCTAACCTCCGTAGCCCAACTACGGTTCCTATGACGATAATTGTTCATCGAATAAGGTCCCTCCAACCTCTTTTTCCTGCCAATTGCAGCCCCTTCGACCTCAATCATTTGATTACAATCTATGCAACCTTAATCACCTAATTATCGTCCCTTAAATCATAGTTACCTGCCAACTATGGTCCCTCCAACCTCTGTCACTCGCCGACTACAACTCCTTTAGCCTCAATCACTTGACTATGATTCATCCAACCTTTGTCGTATGCCGACTACAATCCCTTTGAACTTAGTCGCCCCTTGACTGCAATCCCTTTGACCCCAATTGCCCAGCTATAGTCCCTCCGGCCTAAGACCGACTACAATCCCTCAGGGCTAAGAATGACTATGATCCCTTCGGCCTAAGATCAACTACAGTCCCTCTAACCTCAGTCGCCCACTATGGTCCCTTATACCTCAATCAACCTACTATAGTCCCTTTGACCTCAACTGACATGCTATAGTCCCTCTAACCATAATCACCCAACTACAATACCTTTGACCTCCATCATTCAATAATGGTTCCCACAACCTCAGTCACCTAACTATGATCCCTCCACCTCAGTCACCCGACAACGATCCCTCCAACCACAATCACTCGTCGAGTATGGTCCCTCTGATCTCCATCGCTCGCCGATTACAATCCCTTCACCCTTCATCACCCACCAACTATGGTCCTCTGATCATCGTCGCACTACCATGGTTCCTCCAAACTTTGTCACCTGAATACAACCCATCCAACTATAATCACCTACCGACTACGGTTTCTTTGACCTCCATCGACCGCCGACTATGGTCTTCTTACCACTGTCACATGATAATAATCTCTTTGACCTCTGTCACCTGACTACGGTCCCTTTGATCATAGTTGCTCGTCTCCTATGATCCCTTTGACCTTTATCACCCGTCGATGATAGTCCCTTTGGCCTTCGTCACATGAAATAGGTCATTGTGGCCTCAATCACCCAATTGCGGTACTTTTAACCTTTGTTGCTAGATAACAATCATTTGATCTCCATCGCTCGACAACAATCCATCCAACCTTTGCCGCCTGACAAATGTCCCTCCGAACTCCATCGCCCGCTGACTACGATCCCTGTGACCCCTATCGTCTGAATATGGTCTCTTCGACCTTAGTTGCTCGAAAATGGTCCATTCTACTTCAGTTGTCAGATTACAATTCTTTCGGCCACCTCACCTAACTACGATCCTATTGATCAAACGAACATACCAATTTTCTCTTGAGAATAATTCTCCTGCCATGAGATTCTTCCAACTCCAACCATGTAACATTCTCTACATGATGCATATTTAAATGATATATCAACACCTTCTCCTGAGGAAAGGAATCATTTAAAGCTAATAATAAACATTAGTACAATCATTTTAATTGGACAAAACCCCATGATTTTTCTCGTTTTATTTTTCTCGTTTTTAGAATTTTCACATAAAAATTCTGATGTCTATTATGACTCTTGTATCCCACCCTCATATATGTGTGTGTGTGTGATCTTCGTATAAAACTAAGACTCTAAACCCTATATCTCTCTACTGCCGCGAATCCAACATGCAACCAATATAATATTGAAATTCATGCATAATTAAGTGGTATTTCTTCTAACTTACTCTTAATCATATTATTTTTAAATATTACTGATTAGTTTTTCAAAATTTTCCTTACTTTTTAGTCTTTCTTTAATTTAATTTTTTTTACATATATTTATAGTAAAAACTAAATCCAAAACTTATTTTGCATTTTCTTAAACTGATTATTATCTAGCATTATATCGACTACCTAACGCAACCCTCCACTTTTCTCATCCAGGACTTGGGACCTGGCAACGGCAGTGTTAAATAAAATAATTATGTGATAAATAAAATATAAATATAAAATTTTCAAAATAAAAAAATATAGAATTAAAAACTAGTAAGTAGTAACTAAAGAAACTATAATCAAGCCGAACTTTGATTAATTTTTCCTATTTTCTTTACCTCCCGGCGAACGCCCACCAAACAGCATGCCTGTTCCTCCCTTTCCCGCGTTCCCGCGCGAATACAATATCCTATAATCGTCTTTCATTTTCGAGACTCCCTCAATTTCTTCTCCCGCCCTCGAAGCCCTCTTCCTCTTCGAAATCCCTCTGCCCAATTCTTGCGCTTCAGCTGAGCTTGAACTTTAAGGTTAGGGTTTCCTTTGATCCTTTAATATTACATATTAGCAGACTAATTCCTGATGTGAGAACACTGTTTTGTGCGATCACTGCTAATGGTATAACAACACTGATTCTTGTTCTATGTGCTCTTTGGACTTCTTTTAAACGATAACCAGATATAATTTTGGAATATTTTGCGCCAAGTTGTGGAGTTCATTGTTTCCTTTTTTTTTCTTTTAATTAGCTGCTGTGCTGTATGCTTATGGGTTGGGTTATTGATCAGGATATGGATTTTGACAGAGCTATGCTTGAGAAAAGATGCACTGGCCATGTCTCTGATGCAATAGTTTAGTAATTTATGCTAATTTGGGTGGTTTCACATTTGGTACCTTTGCCAAGCCTCCTAAAACTCTATGTTCACATCAACAAACTATTGTGCTTCTTCTTAATGCTAGTGTTTGAGATTCTATAGCTTGAAAAACTTATAATTTGAATCTAGCGTATAATGTGTTATGGAATATTTGTGTTAAGATTACTTGTTTTGTTCCTCAATTGATTAAATGCACCGTTTTGCTCTGCTAGTTGAAGATAGCGGTTGCAAGAAATTTTAGTTAGAAACATAGAACTTCTCATAGTGCAGTTTGTCTGTAAGAATTTCTTCAACTTCTATGCTAGTTTAATTATTAATGGATGTATCTTTGGTATCTTGTTTTTGTGCTAGATTTATATTTGATGTTCTTTTATCACCCTCTCGCTAATTTGCTGTAAATGTTCTTATAAGGGTGTAATTGCTCTATTTCTTCTAGATTTAGAAATCAATAGGTCATTTGTTAACAATATAAATCTTGTTTGCGAGTTGTTGTTCAAAGAAATTAGAGATAGGCAGATAGCTAGTATAACAGTTAATATTATCCAACCATAGCATGATTCATATACATTTACTGCTTCATATATAGTACTTGGTGCATCCTTGTTACATAACTTTGAAAAATGCATGAAATTGATTTCATTAAGATAATCAAGATTTAATTTGCGTGTGGAAGTTCTGGGCCTAGTGAGAAGGCAGACAACAACCCTGTATAGAAATGGAAGGTCTAATGGCTGCTAGAATTCAAATCAAGGAGTTAATAGGCTTCTACAAATCAGTAACCTCCTCTGGAAATATACATAAAGGCAACCAACAAAGCATCCATACAGACCCACCTATCTTGCAATCAAATCTGCAGGAGAACTGTAGTATCCTGCAGATTCTTTGATGTTGTACCAGCAGTAGGAAGAATTCCTCCCCATTCTAAATCAAAAGGCTAATCTTCTGGTTAATTATTTTTATAAAAAAATATTTTTATTAAGTATTTCTCAAATTACTTTTGCGTACTATTTTTCCTAATTTTCTTCTATGGGAGTTCACTCCTTGCCTTCATCGATCCACTGAGTGAGCATTGCATTTTCCGTAAAAGCTGCCCTTGGCTTTCTCATTGAGACATGAAATAAAATAGTCTTTCTCTTCTATGTTTTTCAAAATGGCATTAGAACCATCTCTTCTAGCCTTAGTAGCTCTCTTAATCCTCTAGTTCTTTGCATAGTTATTTTTCGGTCTTAATCTTGATGATGGTTAAACATTAAATGGCTTCTAATAGAAGCTTCTTCTTCGTAGAAGCTTCTTCTTCGACACCACCTCCAACTATGAATCAGTTCGTCATGGCACGCAACCTTGATAGTAAAAAAGCTTCTTCAATCCTTCGGTTATGATGCACAACTTGAACAGACAAAATTACCTCCAATGGTCTTAACCAGTTAGTGATAAATATTTTATGCAGATTCTCTTATAGGTAAATTAATGGGATTAATTGATATTATAATTTATAGAAAGATAAATATTTTATGCATTCAGGAAATTAATGGGTTGGAGAAAATACTAAGGAGATTGATAGTTTATGATTTCATTTTTGGCATTCTGGTAGAAGTTGTACTAGAAATGATGTAGGGGTGATTATAGATAAGAGTTTAAAAGATAATGTTATAAAATTGATAGAATTTGAGATAAAATTATAGCTTTGAAGATTATTGTTGATGCTAAAATTATTAATATTATAAGTGTTTATGCTCCTTAAGAATGTTTAGATATGTGTTTAAAATTAAAATTTTGGAATGACTTAAAAGAATTAATTCAAAAGATACATATTGAAGAAAGAGATTTTATTGGAGGAGATTTAAATGGACATATTGGTACAGAGTTAGAGGATTTTAAAAGTATTTGTGATGACTATGGGTTTGGAGCGACTAATAAAGGTGATAAGATTATATTAGATTTTGCTTCAGCTTATGATTTTGTAATTGCTAATAATTTATTTAAGAAAAGAGATGAGCATCTCATTACTTATAATAATGGATATAATAAAACTCAGATTGATTATTTTCTTATAAGAAAAATAGATCATTTAGATTGTAAATTTATTTCGGGTGAAAGTTTATGTACAAACATTACTTATTAGTTTTGGACTTTAAGATGAATCGACAGAATATGAAAAACATTGTAAAATGTTGATCTAAATTAGATGGAGACATTTAAAGATCACGAACAAAAATATTTTTGAGAGTAAGATTTGAGATCTTAAGATTTTGTTTGTGCATGAGGAAGCGAATGTTATGCGTAAAATTTGAGATCTTAAGATATTAGTTTTGAAAATAATTTGAAATGCAAAGATTTTAGCAAATTATATATGTATAAGTTAGCCAAATAAAGAGATAGGAGTAGTAAGGATTTAATTCAAGTGAAGTGCGTTAATGATGAAGATCAAAAAAGGCTTTTTTTAAAAGAGGATATTCAACCAAGGTGGATGAGATATTTTGCTAAACTTTTCAATGAAGATTGTGAGAATACGATTGACTTTAGTAGCTTTACCACTTTAAATGAAAATAGAGATTTTTATTTTTATTAACGTATTAGTAAAACTAGAGTTAGAGAGGCTTTAAAGAAATGAAGTGTGGAAAAACTATTTGACCTGATGATATTCTAATAGAGATGGGGAAATGCTTAGGAGATTGAGGAATTTTTTGGCTTACTAAACTTTTTAATATTATTTGGAATACCAAAAAGATGCCAGTTAAGTGAAGAATGATTGTGTTGATTCTTATTTTTAAATAAAAGATGATGCACAACTATGTGAATTATAGAGGAATTAAGTTGATGTGTCATACTTTAAAACTTTGGGAGAGAGTTATGGAGCATAGGTTACGATGTGATACTAATGTTTCTTAAAATTAATTTGGATTAATGTCGAGTAGGTCTACTATGAAAGCTATTCATTTATTAAGAGGGTTGATTGAGAAGTTTTGAGAGAATAAGTAGGATCTACATATGATATTTATTGATTTAGAGAAAGCATATGATAAAGTTCCAAGAGAAGTGGTATGGAGAGTTCTTGAAAAGAAAGGGGTTAATAATGCTTATATTCAAGTCATTAGGGATATGTATGCATGAGCTATTATTTATGTTCAAACCCAAGGTGGTTTGACCAATTATTTTCCTTTATAAAGTTGGATTACATCAAGGATCAGCCTTAAGCTCTTATCTTTTTATTTTAGTCATGGATTTTTTTACTAGACATTTGCAAGAGGATGTACCTTGGTGTATGCTTTTTACTGATGATTTTCTTCTTGTTGATAAGACTAGAGAGGAAGTTGAATGCAAACTTGAATTATGGAGGTCAACCTTAGAGTCTAAAGGTTTTGTTGTAGTAGTAATAGATCTAGTGGGGGTTTTATGACTTTGAGCAATCAAGTCATTAATAAGTGTACTTGTTTTAGATATCTTGGGTCTATTATTCAGAGTGATGGTGAAATAGATAGGGTTATTATTAGTAGAATTCAAGTTGGATGGTTGAAGTGGAGGAATGCTTCGGGTTTGTTGTCTGATAGAGAATTACCACTCAAACTTAAGGAAAAATTTTATAAGATGGTGGTGAGATCTGCAATGCTTTATGGCGCAGAATATTGACCATTAAAAGAGAAGCATAATATTAAGTTAAGTGTTGCTGAGATGAGTAAAAAAGAAGTGTTGTTGAGATGAGGATGCTCAGGTGGATGAGTGGATTTACTCTGAGAGATAGGATACGAAACGAGCATATCTGTGAAAAGGTTGGAGTAGCTCCATTGACAAATAAGATTAGAGAGAGTCACCTTAGATGGTTTGGTCATGTAAAACGGCGGCCTTTCGATGAACCTGTTATGAGAGTAGATGTATTAGCTTTTGCTTATGTTAAGAAAGGTAGAGATAGATCTAAAAAGACTTGGTTATAAAATATTAGAAATGACATTTCTTTATTAGATTTAAATGAGAATTTGACTCTTAACATGACACAATAGAGAAAAATAATTCATTTAGTTGACCCCACGTAGTGGGATAAAGGGTTGATGTTGTTGTTGTTGTGGTCTTGACCAGTTAGTTTGATATCCATTAAGGATAACATGATTGAAAATAGACTTAGGTGGTTTGGATATGTACAACGAAAGGTAAGAAATGCTCCTGCTGGACGAGTAGATAATATTGATATTAAATGATTAGAAAGAAAAATGGTTAGACCTAAAGATACATGGCTAGAAGTTGTTCATAATGATTTATGATGATTATATTTAAAACTACAAACAATAGGAATGAGTGGAAAGTTAGGTTAATAATGTTAACGCCAATTATTTCGAAAAAATCTAATGATTATGATGATGAATTCTTCATTTTACTATTGCTGGGAACATATTGATGTTGGACATCATTGAATTTAGAATGCATTGGAAATTATAATAGCATTTCTTAAGAAGTTCCATATATATAAAAAATAGATTTGACATGCTGAACAAATTCTTATCAACACAAATGATTCAGGTATGTAGACTCATTCTAGGTTTGATGAATCCTCTTGTATGATTTTAGAATGGGAGATGTTTTAGGTTCTTTGTCATGTGGGGAACCCACTTAAAAATAAAAATCCATGTGACATCCATGTGAGGTGAAATTAGGGGTGCAAATGAGTTGAGTCGAACTCGAGTCAGCCTCAGCTTGAGATCGACTCGCAATTCAAATATTGAGCTCGAACTTGAGCTCACACTCGAGTCGAGCTAAGAATGCTAGCTCGAGCAGCTCGGCTCATTCCGTTGAAAAAGCTCGTCGAGCTGCTTGATCCGCGTCCGCATTTGCTCGCGTCCTCGTTCATGATTTTGTTCGCATATCGCGTCCGAGTTTTCGCTCGCAAGTAATCGAGCCGAACTTTAACCGGATCGAACTCAAGCCATTAAGTGTCACTGTTGTCAGAATTTGCTCTCCTTGTTCCTTCAAAAAACAATCACCAATGCCAACAATTGGTCTACAACCTGAAATGAAGCCTATCTTGCACGCCTTAAAACAAATATAAAGTCTCGTAAATCTTTTCCTCCCACTCAAATTTGAGTCCTTAGTTGTAAGGAATGAAATAGTTAAACTTGGATTGTTGCCTGCAATCTCAAGATAGTAATCCCAAATTTTATCGAACTGATATTCCTCCATCATATAGATCAATTGACGAGCCTTCTTAAACGTCTTTTTAGCTTGAACTTTTGATACAAGCAACCTCAAGTCATCTATCACTTCTTTTCTAAAAGCATTGCATTTTATTTGGGGATTGACTTTGATTTTGTGCACATACCTTTTCACAATGATTGTAGAGTTTAATGATAA